CACCTGAGTATTTTCCACACTGCGCCTCCTCTGAGCCTCGGTATGCTGTTGTCTTTCCTTCTAGTTGAAGAGTGTCTCCTCAGCCAGCCTTCCTGTGGTTCTGGGTGATGTCCGTTCCGTCTTTTAGTTGTATTTTTGAAGTGGTTGTTTGCGGCAGCAATCTCCGGTGTTTACCTATGCCGCCATCTTTGATTCTCCCTTTCCAAGATTATTAATCTCCGTCGATGGATTGATTCATTCCTTTACTCATTTAGTGAGTATTTACCAAGCACCCTCTATGGTCTAGAATTGTGCACATCCTTTTACTGGATCTTCATAACAGCACAATGCAGCGGGCAGTTCTAAAGATGAGGAAACAGACTCGGGATAGTAGTTGGTGGTGAAAGTCCCCAGCTTTGGGATTTGCACATAAGTCTGTTCAACGTTCAACTCAGTTCACTGTGGGCCTTCTGTGCCACAGGCCGAGTGCAGGGTGCTGGGAACATGGACAGAAGCAAGCAAGCATCGCCTCTCCCCTTGTTAGAGATCTAGCTCCTTCCAGTGAGGCCTGATGGCTGCCGTGTGAATTTACAATGAGGGGTGCCCTGGTTAGGGACCTGTGGGGTGAGTTCCAGGAAGGCCCGTGTGAGGCTTTTTATTCTGGGACTTTAGGAGGGCCTGCTATGGCGCCGACAAACCAGCAGAGGGCGCCTTGCTCTAACAAGGAGGTGCCTGGCAGTCCTCCGTCAGAGTTCCAGCCCTATAGGGTTCTAGGGATTCGGGCTTCTACACCCATCTGGCGGTTCACGGATAGTCAACTCTCCCTGCCAGAGGCGGAAACTGAGTCTCCAATAGGAACAGGATCTTTTCCAGAATCAGGAAAAGACCTCCACCTCCAGCAGTTGACACAATCGCTCAGATTCCAGGGGACAGGGGAGCAGAGCCTGGGAGTTGTCCAGGGCCCGCTCACAAAGGGTATGAGAGGGTCTTTAGGAGGCTCCCATGTCCTCGAGGACTTCATTGCAATATGTCAGTATTTACTGATTTCTTTGCTTATGCAGCAGCTGGGATCGCCCCTGAATGGGGTGCTCCTGGGTGGAAAGGGTTACTGAGAGCTGAGTCCATGGATATTACGCCCATTTTTCAGAAAAGCAATTGATGCCCAGAGAAGAAAAGCAATGATGTCGGTCCAGTGGGGGTAATCGTCCAGATGTCACACATGGGGAGGGTCTGGGAGCTCCCAGGAAGGGTGAGCGTGGTCCAGGTGGGGCGGAGACGCTCGGGGCAGGATGCCTGAGCCCCCTAGGCCAGTGATGGTGAACCTATGACACGCGTGTCAGAGGTGACACGTGAACTCATTTTTTTGGTTGATTTTTCTTTGTTAAATGGCATTTAAATATATAAAATAAATATCAAAAATATAACTCTTTGTTTTACCATGGTTGCAAATATCAAAACATTTCTATATGTGACACGGCACCAGAGTTAAGTTAGGGTTTTTCAAAATGCTGACACGCCGAGCTCAATAGGTTCGCCATCACTGCCCTAGGCCCTGGCACAGGGCTGGACCAAGGTCCTTGGCTACAGTCCCTTTTTTCCAAGAAGGGTGAGGTGGTTTGTGGGAAGCAGCCATGGGGGTTATTTATAGAGGCCACAGGAAATCCCCAAAGAGTCAGAACCTCACCCAGCGGCTGGACCACAGGGTCAGGGAGGGGGTCTGCCAATTGCTCCCAACTGGTACTCAGTCCCTGTCCCTCCCCAGAGAGCCACCAAGCCTGGGTGAGTCAGAGCTACAGGATCAGAGCCAGGAAGAGTGAGGGATGGGCCAGGGCAGCCCCAGGGGACAGGAGGGCTGCACCTGGGGCACCCAGGAGAGCTGTCTGGAGGCGGAACCTCTGGGGTGGGGCCTTAGAGGAAAAAGAATTTGTCAGCAAGAAAAGGCATTCCAGTCTGAGGGTACAGCACACATTACAATGAAGAGTCGGCGAGTCTAGTCAGAGAACTAAATGTGCAGGGCAGCTGGAGGCCAGGGCTCATTGCACAAGGGGGAAGGGGCACGAGAGAGCCGAGGAACTGGACTTGGTGCTCAGGGTAATGGGGAGCCATGGAGGGTGTAAGGAGAGGGATGTGGTCAGATCCCAGGATGGAAAGATCTCTCTGGACCAGCCCGGGGGCCATAACGGAGGCAGAGGCTGAGGTCCAGGTGTTGGAGGACTGAGCCAGGGATGGGTATGGGGACTGGGGGGAGGGATGGCATCCTGGGATGCTCTGAATGGGAGAGACCAGCCACACGTTACAGACCTGTACCCAAGTGTCCAGAGAGTTTAGAACGATGACATCGCACTCATTTCTCAGATGAGAAAGTGGAGGCTGAGGTGGACTGAGCCAAAATTTGGATCAGGGATATCTGGCCCAGAACCCAAACTCTTACGGTTGCTGGGACTGGCCGGCGTCAGCAGGCCACGACTTCAGGCTGCTCAGGCCGTAGACTCAGGGTCACGGATGTCCCGCTTCCTTGGAGCCTCCAGACCGGTCTGTCTGGGCGGCCTGGCCTGGCTCACCCCCCTGCCCTGACTTGGCTGGGCGGGTTGGGGGGCAGCCGAGTGTTTCCTGCAGCAGCGGTCTCTCTCACCCGCACTTCCGCATCCAGGAAGTATCGCTCCTTTGTCCCTCCAGAAGTGCCTGCCCTAAGCGTGTGCTCAGCCCTGGCTCCTCATGACTCATCCCCACTCCCTGTCCTGGGTCCCAGGGGATGGGCTGGGAGGGAATCAAGGTGGGGGGAGGGGCGGGTACCAGCTGAGATTCTAGATCACAATTTTGTTTTTCTGTCAGTGGCATTAGCTCCCCCCGCTCCTAACCCCCTCTGGAGTCTTTACATTTCAGAGATAAAACCCCAGGAATAGGGTAACTGAGTCAAAGTGTGGGTGCATCTTTACTTTGATTAAATATCGCCACACTGCCCTGGCCCGTTTGGCTCAGTGGATAGAATGGACTGAAGGGTTCCAGGCTGGTTTCCGGTCAAGGGCACATGCCCGGGTTGCGGGCTCGATCCCCAGTAGGGGGCATTCAGGAGGCAGCCAATCCATGATTCTCTCTCATCATTGATGCTTCTATCTCTCTCCCTTTCCCTTCCTCTCTGAAATCAATAATCTATATCTATATCTATATCTATATCATCTCGCCACACTAATTTCCAGAAGGACTATGGCGATGTTTTCATTCCTTTCAGTCCTGTAGGAAATGCCCTTTCTTTCTGTCTTCACGAGCAGTCGGTGTTATGACCTTTAACCGTTCCCAGTCTCCTGGACGCAGTGTGACTTCCCTGTGTCTCTGCTCTGCTTTGCCCCGCTGC